GGGTGTTAAGGTTGATTGAACCTATACCTTGTTTTGCAACCAAGGCAGGATAGCTGGAGTCAATGACCCAAGGATTGAAAATAAATAAATTATTTTTGAATTTTCCGGCGAAGATTGTTGATTTACCATTGGCTAATAATAATCTCTTATTGTTCTAATAATATTCTCAATAATAAATTGTTTAATTAAAACTTTGATTTTTCATATAATTTCAACTCTCCCCCCCTTTCATGATATTTTATGGTAAACCTGTCTTGTTTCACACATGCATTTCCTTTCTGTTCTTAATTTAAAATATTGGTATATTTGGTGCTTATTACTAGCTCCCAGCGGATATATATAGGCCTGCGAGTGGTTCATTTTCCTAGAAGGTTTGCTAATTATCAGCACGCATAATCTCTGCACTGTAATTATGTAGCAGCATGCAAAAATAGGATATAGTGCAGTGCAGTACTTTTAATTTGTCTAACACCGCTGTGTCGCCTCCCCCCTCTCTACTCTTTCAGCTCATCCTCTTTCAAGCCCGTGTTAGCTTTTATAAAACACTAGGCTTTCAGGGCGCTTAGCGACAATCTCCTGTTCACTTTATAATTATGACTCTATCTGTGCACATTTTCTTATCGTAAAATATAAAACAGTAACAAAAAAATTCGTGGATTTTGAAAATCTTACGAAAATCAGGATTTGACTCTTTGCCATAAACTCTGAATTTATAATCCCTATATCTTTGCCGTAGACCTTAAATATTTCAAACTATGAAGGATAGTAGATCAAATAATCTAAGTTTGAAATTTGCACTATCAAGTTCTTCAGATATAGGAATTAGAAAATTTTAGTCAGTGACAAAGACAAGACTCAATTCCTTTTTAGGATACTTTTATTTGTAATACTGGGCATCCATTAATCTTCTTCGGGATCATATGAGTTGCCTTAAAAAAGTTGGGCCCGATCGGTTTAGCCGTTATTGGATAAAAATATGTTTAATTACAATTTTATTTTATACAAAATTTTTTCTTGGTTAAATCTCTAAATTCTCATCTGAAACTAATAATGTAATTGTCATCTATTTATTTTTACAACAAATATTGTTTTTCATTTCAACTTTAAATTCTCTGAGTTACCCCCCCCCCTCCTCCACACTTCCAAGGGGGTACCAGG